GATTCAGACTGAATCGTAAACTGATGTTTGACCAGTGCATCGTAAACAATCGACTCTGAATAGGTGAATCCGATATCACTATCTTTAATTCTAAGCACCAAAAAGCATTCGCACTTTGAGTGTCAGAATATAGTTAGGTAAAATGTAATGTAGTAAAGAATGTCAATTCTACTCTAATAAATCATTAACCCTTAGCCTGACTCATGAAATAATAGTCTACACACACACACACATCGCTTTGAAGCAAAGCTGAATTTTCAGCATCATTACACCAGTCTTCAGTATCACATGATCCTTTATTTGCGTATGAAATATCATTAAATATTTCTAAGGCCTTATTTGCATATCAGACATCATTAAATATTTTCTAAAGCCATACCATATCACTACTGAGAAATGTATAGTTAAACTGATAGCTTCAGTATTTGTAGGCATGCAAGGGCCTAACACTAGAGATGGGTATCGTTAAGGTTTTAACGGTATTACTACTCTTACCGATACTGCTTATCGGTTCGGTACTTTAACGGTATTCTTATCGGTACTTTTTGTTATTTATATATATATATATAAATATATGACAAATTAAGAGCTGAATTAACATTGCTTTATATTCTGAAATGTAAGATAAATATTTAATGAAATGAATATAAAACATCAATTTGTAAATGCACCAGTGTGCAGGCATTTTTAGTGTTTTATACTGTACATAAGGTAAGATACAGTAAGAACATGATCAAAAAAACTAAGTAAAACAAACTGACAAATAAAAAAAAATACAAAAATATACAAATGAAATTAAATAAACAGTGCTTCCATTTTTCCATGAAGGTCTACTAACATTACTGTTCAGGCAAGTAATTACAGTAATTACAAGTAATTAAGTATTACAAGTAAATGAAGTAATTACAGTTTTCACTGTATGTATTGATAGATTAATGCTTATTAAAGCTATGTAATTCAGATTAAGAGCTGTGAGTGATTTTATCTTTGCATTTTGTTGTTTGATTAACTAATGGCCCAAGTGCCAGTCTGTCACTTTAAGACAATATATTGACACGCATCGGATTTTCTCCCAACTGTTCTCGTCCACTTAAGACATAAAATGTGTTTAAGTAAATACTCTCCAAGCCGGCCATTTGGACATATTTTTGTGTGTTTTTGATCGATTGGACATGCGCCCGAAGCTCAAAGTATAATTAGCTTGTCCGTTTTGGAGCGCTGCGCGCACACATTTCAACCTGAGGAACAGCGTCTCTTGTGCGGATTGTTCTTTCCACGTTTTATTATCAAACATGTCCCGCAATTTAGCAACAGTGTAAGACGGCCTTTTTTCAACAATCACCGATTGTGCTGATTCTGACTTTAAGTTTGGGTTTTAGGGAGGAACGAATGCGCACCGCTGCGAAGGGAAAAAAGTTGCGCTAGAAGAAATGCGGCTATAATCCTTAAAAGCCAAAATCGAAATAAAAAAATTAAATTAGCTTAATAAAACAGCCACAGGCCTAAAGTGTAAGCAGACGTTTGAATGTTTAGTTCTTTCCTCTATCATAATTAAGCAGGGCTTTCATGTTGCGCGTGCTGAAGCTCCTCAGCACGAGCGCGATCTCGCTTCTGAATTGCGAATAGCAAAAATGTATCATAGACAAATGTTTGAATATCATTGCATATAAAAACAGCTGGCGACTCTGGTGAGATAGAATTTGCAAGATAATGTATATATAGCAAAAATAAATGTATGTGTGTTTTATTAATTTCTCTAGTACCGATAGCAGAAACGTTAACGTCAGAGCTTATCGATACTCCGGTCTTTCATAATTTAGCCCCGGGACCGATTAAATACCAGGTTTCGGTACCCATCCCTACGTATTATCCAACTCAGAATTTAAGTTACACTACCATTCATTAATGTTTCTGTGAAAGAAATTAACACTTCTATTCAGCAACGACACATTAAATTGATCAAAAATTACAGCAAGGGCATTATAATGTTATAAAAGATTTCCATTTCAAATAAATGCTCTGCTTTTGAATTTTGTTTATCAAAGAATCCTGAAATGTTTTTTTTATTTCTCTAGTACCGATAGCAGAACCGTTAACGTCAGAGCTTATCGATACTCCGGTCTTTCATAATTTAGCCCCGGGACCGATTAAATACCGGGTTTCGGTACCCATCCCTACCTAACACTGCCTGGATGAAGCTGTAACACACACGAGTCTCTAGAGAGCGGTTGGATTTCAGAGTCTGTCATTGGCTCTTCCTGTGGGGGTGGTCAAAGGGGAAAGAGCTAACACTGGGTAACTGAGCGGCCCCTGAACAAAGAATAGATAGTAGGAGAGAGAGCGCAAGAGTCCCATACATCACCCTTTCTCCAAGCCTGCAGGATGCCCCCCGTTCACGATTTGTAACCACCAGGAAGAAACAGCCCTGTCATTGTGAGCAAGTAGGTCAGTGGACCCCAAACAGCTGAGAGAACACAAATCTGTCAAATATACAGGCAAGAAGAGCATGGGGCACAATGAAAACATCATTTTTGGACAAGTATTTTTGCTTGGTTGCGTAAAACACAGTTTGTGCTGCACAAAACCATTCAATGTTACTTAATTTGATATACAGGGAGAAGAAAGTCTCATTAAAAAGGACGGAAATTTAAAACCTTAAATTTTGGTGTAATCTTTTAATGTTAATACTTAAAAAAAAAATAAAATAAATAAAAAATTTTTTTTTTAATAAATAATAGTAATAATAATAATAATAATAATAATAAATTAAATAAATTGAATTAAATTAAAGTAAACTACAATAAACAAATAAACAAACAAACAAAAACAAATAAATTTAAAATAAATAATATCTGTCCCCTGAGGACCCTCATTATTGTGTATCAAGGTCGTTAAGTCTCTTAAAATGTGAAAATGAAAAAGAAAAGGAAATGTGTCCTTTTTATGACAAGGCAAGGGTAGGTTGTAAAATGTCATGTGGTGTGACTGCCCCAAAATAGTGATATTTATTCATTAATAATTTGTGATGCTAGTAAAATACACTTTTTACCTCGGAAAAAAAAAAAGTTAAAAAAGTTATGGAAAATAATGATTAAATTGTGCACACATTCAAAGTATAAAGTGAATATTCTATTACTTTTTTGCTGGTTACAACACATGACATTTTCTTTCAATTTAAACTTTTACTGAAAAGGCAATAAAAGGTTTTCAAAGTCATACGAAACCAACATTAACACACAGAGTACATTTATAAGAACTTGGCACACTAAATTTAACTAGATTTTCTTTATCTTAGATAGTTACTCTTAAATGTCATGTACAGTCAGGGCAGTTATGACAGCTATGGTTACATGCACTAATTATCATCAAACTGAATGAATCCAATCTGATTTCAGATTCATTTAATTGGTTTCAGAAGAGCTTTTTAGCAATTATTTGGGTACAACTATGTACTAAAATGTGCAATGCACTTATATTAGCACTTATACAGCACATATTAATGCCTTTTTCTGCATGACCATATTTTAGATCCCTTAATCCACCCCATACCTAAACTTAACAACTACTAACTATTAATGAGCAGCAAATTAGGAGTTTACTGAGGCAAAAGTCGTAGATATTAGTTAGTTAATAGTAGGGCTGCACGATAAATCGCATGCGATATTTAACGCGCATCTTGTCAGAAAGCCAGTTCTGTAATCAGCGGTAAATCTCCATCACCTGCGGGCTTTCACATTGAGCAGCATTAACTACACAGAGCCGTTGTTCACTGATGAGCTGCGCAAAAAATCGCGCAAATATGAACGTGGTTTTGCGCAGCTCGTCAGTGAACAACACCTCTGTATAGTTAATGCTGCTCAATGTGAAAGCACGCAGGTGATGGAGATTTACCGCTGATTACAGAACCGGCTTTACTGATAAGATGCGTGTTAAATATCGCATGCGATTTATCGTGCAGCCCTAGTTAATAGTGAGAACTGGTCCCTAAACTAAAGTGTGACCGCTATTCCTTTGTGTTTTTGAAAAGTTTCGCATACAAACGACAACGTTGTCGAAACGATTCATGAAAAGGACAAAAATGCTGTATTATGCATGCTAGGCCAGTAGTTGGCGATGTAAAGAAACACTATGCGCCTACGCACATGCATATAGAGTGAATACGTAACACGCACACACGACATTATTGTTTTCACAAATGCACATTTTTGTAGTTTACACGGAAACAATTTTAAAATCAGTTTCAAAAGTTTGCATTTTCAGGCCCCCAAAACGTTGGCTGTAAATGAATGACCAAAAATGCATAAAAAGTTTTCTGTTTTTAGTTTAAAACGCTGTTCTGTAAACAACCATTCCAAGACAAAACAAGTCCCATCCACTGACCATTTAGTATGACATGAAATGTAATTATACTCACTTACAGTCCTCAAATATACAGTTACGTGAATCCTTGTATACCGATTTATAACTAAGATTTCCCTTATTCAGCCTGTATACAATAATCAATAGTAATGACACAGCCTGAAGCCACCATAAGATAAAACAAGTGCGAACGACAGGCAAACACGTTTATCTATATCGCCTCTGGTTACATCCAAATAAATCACACGCACTTCAGTGTGCATTATGTGTGTTTACATTTGTACTGAAAGGGCTTAGCCAAAAGGGTTAATGTAATGAATGACATCTGACCTCACCGTCAACTCAGGACACAGCTCACAGCACACACAGAGCATAGGATACAGACATTCATGCACACACCCACGCAGGGGGCCTAGCATCTGGCTAAGCTATCAATGCTCTTGTAACGTCTCTTGTCAATTTACGAGTCCTGTTTTTCGAAGTTAGTGCTCACTGTGGTGCTTTAAATATGCAGCTGAAGAGGCCAGATCCCCATCTTTGACCTCAATATGGCAGCGTATTCCTGCTATTCAGCCTCACTCTTATTACAACACACATAACCGAATGAAGAAAGGAAATAGAGGGGAGAGCAAAATACTCACAATGACCACTGGGTGCAGGATTGTGTGTAAACCACTTCAGCAACTTGGCAGCAGTGTGCTGGGATAATTTGGACATCAAGCTGAAAGCAGAGTTGAGCAACAAGGTCAGCATGACAGGTTACGCTGCCTCAGAAGTGTGGGAAAAGCATGGCGCTCTGCCGTCGGCCTTGATTAGTCACTACTTCTAAAGGGGAGCCAGGTCCAGTTTCTCCACAAGTTCAGTTTAAGAGCGACCAGAGTCATCTGTCTGTCACTGCCGGTTTCCAGTCACACAGACAGGCAAACAATGAGGAGGAAGTCATGAAATCAACCACAGCCTCTGGTTTCTGTTGTGTCTGGGAAAGGCCTCAGCTCCCACACAAGAACCTGTGGAGTGGACAAAAGAGAGAAGGTCAGAGATGATTCCGGAAACAACAAGGTTCTGGCCCGCAGCGTGTGTAAAACCCCGGCCTACTGTTATTTTAAGCTATCAGGAGAGCATTCCTTCCGAGCTGTGGGCTTTCAAACACTTACACAATCAGTCAAAAGGCTAGGCAGGGAGAAAGACCTGTGTGTTTCTGAACAAGCTATAATTTTAGAGACAAATCTCAGGGAGTCTTGGGACTCCCTCCCCCCCCATCTTCAACGAAACACAAATGTTGACCAAATGCATTGGCCACTCTTTTCCATGCACTTACAATTAATAGGCACTGTAGATTTCACATTCTAAAGGCACCCTAAAAGTATCTTAAAATAAGTCTATATGACTTTTCTAAAGCCACATGACAACTTTGTGTGGCAAAATTAGTTATTTACAGATAATTTCCCCCTAGAGTGCATGTCAACATTGTCAGTAAATAACAACTTAAATTTCATTCTGTTCTATCAAAACACATCAAAATTATCAGAAGACTTGAAATATAGCTCACACGTACTAATTTACTCTAATTTAAGAAGTGACACTTCTTTTGTCATTTTGGAGCTTGACAGACCCAGTTCTCATCCATTTCCTTTATATTATAAAGATTCATGAGAAAAAAATAAAATAATAATAATAATAATAATAAAAATAATAAAAAATATAAATATATAAATGAATATATAAATGAATGAATGAATGAATAAATAAATTAATAAATAAATGAATAAATAAATAAATAAATAATCAATCAATCACAGGGTTTGGAAAAACTTGAAGATGAATAAATTATACTTTGTTTATTTATTTACTTTATTTGGTTGTTTTATTGTCATCCTTCTATTTAGATACTGGTTATGCTCAAATAAAGGCTGAACAAGATTTGATATATTCAGAGATTTGATTATGTACCTTGTTTTATGGTTTGTAAAGTTTTAACTGAAATAATAATAATAATAATAATAATAATAATACAAAAAGTACAAAAATAATACAATTATAATACAATATAATACAAATTAAAAGATGCAATTATTTATTGTAAATAATAATTTGTATTTTAGCAGTTTTTTAATTAATACTTTTATCAACACTTTTAATCAATGTTATGTAAAGCAGCTTTGAAAAAAAATTGTGAAAGCGCTATAAAAAAAGTTGACTTGTATATATGTAAATATGTATATCAAAAACTATATTTTACAAATACAGTATATATATATATATCATTAAGTTAAGAACCTGAAATATGCTTGCATTGTCATAAAAAGATCAAATTTGATATTTTAAGAGAAAGTTCACATTAGGGTTAGTGTAACTATAATTAAAGTCAATGGGAAGTCCCCAGTAAGATAGCTATGTAAATCTGTGTTTATGATTGCACGATTATAAGTGTTTTTCGTGCTAAAACAGGTGAGAGGTTGTATAAACAGACCAATTTGAGTCAGACACACATTAAGGTAGACCATGCCCTTTAAAAAAATGAAAATATCAACAGAGAACTGCTAAATTTATGTAATTCCAAGGTGTTTCATGTGGTTAGGAATTACAGGATTCATACAACATTCATACAACATACAACCCACACACTCATACAGGTCCTTCATTCAGGCCTGTGGGCTGTGGAATGCGAGCGTGTTCAGGTGCAGACGGAAAAGACTCGGGACTTTCCCCCTCAGCCCTTCTGATCCCTGTAGCAGAGCTCATGACTCAACACGGTCACACACATCAGAGAGAAAGAATGAGAGAGAGAGCGAGAGAGCGCACAGCCTCTTGCCTACTGAAAATGTTCCCACCTCTTCCCTATCAGCACTAGCTAAGTTTACCCACAAGTCACTGACAAGTGCTCTCTGAGGACTCAATAGCAAGAAAGGCAATGTGAAAAAGCTTCTCTGGAAATTATTTATGAATATACACCCACATTTACACTTATCAAAATCTCTCTCAGAGCTTAATAACCAAGGCTATGAATGGAGCCTTGTGCCGTATGTTGCTGTTCTATAGCATATAGAGTTACACTCCTTAACAGGCCAATCTAACAGCGAAATATTTCAATCCAAACACAGACTTTGAAAAATACAAACACAATATTGGACATAAACATACACAGAAGATTCTATCTCAAGGAAGTATGTCAAATGCAACAGTATCTAGATATAGCACAAACTTACCACCTGCTAAAAGTAGTAGTTGGTTACATGGATCCAAATCAGGATTAGGACGTTGACCAAGATTACCAGTTGGTAGGAACGGGGCTGAATTGGTAGACCATCTTGGTCAAGCTGGTTAGGCCTGGTAAACCTCTTTTCTGGTCAAACTAGAAGACCATATGGTGTATCAGCTAAACACAGCTTGCCAAGACTGGGAGCCCAGCTCTATCCACCTAAAATCAGCAAACACTTTTGGCTGCTTCAGTTTTTGGAGGGATTCAAGGAAAGATGGTCTACCAATCTAGCTAGATCTCTAATTGTTGCTTGTTTAAATGGTCAACTACTTAATCCAGTTGATTAATGTAGGACTGAGAGTTATAGCAGTGTTGGATCAGCAACAACATTTCAAACGCTAGATTTACTGGTGACAGTACAACACACTCCCATGGGAATTTGTAACTATTTACATTCTGGTGAATTGGTGGCAAAATTTTAACATTTATTATTTGTACATTTTCATGCAATCTATTTACACCACTCTGATGGTTGGGTTAAAGGGTAGACCTTTATGATTACTTTTTTATTTTCTAAAAAAAAAAAAAAAAACATAGGTTAACATAGTACAAATTACCTCACACAAATTCATACAATTTTTTTCATACAAAATTCATAAATTAACACTTTGACATTGCGGAGTTGAACTAAAAGTACGGTCAAATTTATAATTACTCTGAAAAAGAAAATGGGACTGGAAGTGACCATGAACTGAAAAACAATGACAACAAGACAAACTTCCAAAGCTATTCTGCTGGCTAGCAAACGAACTAACCCTAAATAACTGCTTTACAAAAAGTCACTTAATGCATCATTTTATAATACTGAGGTATAGAGTTTTAAATAAAACTGGCTGAGTAGACACTCAATTTTGCTTTGTTGCCAAGTCATCAATCTTCGCCCACACAAAGTTCACTTGCTATTGGTTGGTGCAGTGAATTTGCATGTCAAAGTTCTTCATCAATGGTGAAATTTCACAAAGTCGATGAAGTGAAATTAGTATTGAAATGACTGGATTTTGCCCACAAAATTTTGCAGGTCAACACTAAATGTCAAAAAAATAAAAAATAATTCATTTTTGTGTATACACTTTAAATGGACTACAATTGGGCATTTACTTCTAAAGAGCTGAGGGGTGTAGGTAGGGTTAAGACTGTGTTTATTTCACATGAATGTCCAAAAAAAAAATAATTGTGACCAGCTTGACCAGCTTTAGATGTTATGACCTTGAATTTCCAGCAGGGAAGTCCAAGGTAAAAACCAGCAGAGACTGACAGCATCTCTAGCCCACATATGCTGAAGTTGAACACACTATGGCAGTTCTCTGAGTTCACAGCTGTGCTGCCCGCCTGAGCTGGGCCAAGCTGCCAGTGGTCAACAGCTGAGGCAGAGCAGGGCACCAAAGCAGTTTTGTGACAGCCCACATTCCCTCAGCACAACTGCCAAACACTTCTTTAAAGAGCCTGATGATGCATTCCCAGCCCTCAGCAGTAAAGCGGCTCTTTACAGTGACTGACGCTGGATTCCCGCACTCAGCACTGAGGTTGTGCCGCCACACAGTCGGAGAAGCACATTCTCAAAGTTACTTCACAAGGCCTGTGAGTGCATAAAAAGACCACTTGACCTCATAATCAAGCTAATTAATTAGCCATCTTTAAGTAGCAAAAGCACATTATGATTAAAAACGAAGCAAAATATAATTCAGTTTCATAAAGTGTAACTGCAAACGCTAAGAGACACGATTTATGTAGGAATAAGCATATGGGTGCCAAGCTATTTTTACAAAGTATTGTCTGGTCTGTGTGCCAACAATATTTTTCTAATGTACTTTCCATCTAAACAATCCGTCCATCACTGCTCACTCTGCACAACTGCTGTGTATCCATTGCTTTTTAGTGGCTGTAATCCTGCAAGCAGCTGCAAAGGGCTAAAAAAGCCACATGATTTGAAGCTATTGCCAGCTGCCTGCCATCTTTGAGTTAAACACACATCAAAAGTTCTTCATTTAACACCCTAGAGGGGGGAGAGAGAAAGATAGAGATGGTGGGAGAAAGAAAAAGAAACAGAGAAGGCAAGAAAATGAGGATAATAAATGAAAGCATGTGTGGGGACAGTCGAAGGCCTGTTTTACACCACATGCACAAGCAATAAGTAAAGCAGCAGCATGACTGCAGTTCTGCTTTCACACTGGCACCGTTTCAGCTAGTAGCTTTTTGTATGTGAACAAATCGTTCTCATCCACTAGACTTTTCCCACTGAAGCCTCAGCCATGTTGATACTGGTTGGTTAACTTGGTTGGTAACAGCACTGTAGTGTCTTATTATTTTAATTAATAAAAATGTAAGATTTGACATAAAAGATCACAAGTACATTTTAACAAGGTTAGGAAAACATCGAGACTCACACTGATCATCCAGAAATCAAATATGCTAAACATATTTGAAAGTTTTACTATATTGAATTGAAACTTGAATCAAATGACGACCTCAAGAATAGAGCTGCAACAAACGATTATTTTGATAATCGATTAGTCTAGCGATTATTACAACAATTCATCGACTAATCATTGATTATTTTGCTGAATAATCAGGCTGATTGATTGATTCAGCTTTTGCAATTCATTAAAATGCAGTTATACATATTCTATACAAATTCATATACATGCAGAGCTGCTTTATAGCAGAAAATCAAGTTGTAATGCGACACTAACACTTTTTTCCATGTTTAATACTGTAAAACTGCTTGCTTTAAAGCAGTTTACTGCATAA